AAAATTAAACAAAGAAAAATTTAGAGAGAGAAATTTAAGAAAACAAATAAAAATTAAAGAGAAAAATTAAACAAAGAAAAATTTAGAGAAATATTAAACAAGGAAAAATTTAAGAGAAAAATTAAAAAGAAAAATTCAACAGAAATGTAAAGCTATTTAGCTACATAGCACTATTTAGAAACGTAGCACCACAACACTATTTAGAAGCATAGCACTATTTTGGGAGAAAAGAACAAAAATAAAAACAAAGATATTCAGCTAGATAGCACTATTTTGAAAAAAACAAAAATAAAAAAAAAGATTTAGCTACATAGCACTATTTTGGAAAAAAACAAAAATAAAAACAAAGATAAAATTAAAAACTTCCGTATCGCATTCCTCGGAAAAAAAATTTTAAAAAAATGAAAATAAAAAAAGATTTCGCTACATAGCACTATTTTGGAAAAAAAACAAATAAAAACAAAGATAAAGTTAACTTCCGTATCGCATTCCTTTTTATTAAATTAAAAACTTCCGTATCGCATTCCTTGGAAAAAAAACAAAAATGAAAAAAAGATTTAGCTACATAGCACTATTTTGGAAAAAAAACAAATAAAAACAAAGATAAAATTAAAAACTTCCGTATCGCATTCCTTTTTATTTTTACCATTATGTTTATTTTTAATTGTTAACCATTATGTTTATTACAATGCTTATTTACAAAGGAGACCACCCCGCGCTTCTTTGGGTACCATTAAACGTAAAGCTTCGTAAAGCTCTTTTGAATGAATTATTTTATTGTATCTTTTTTTTGGGTACCACTAAACGTAGAGAATGCGCTTTTAAAATTAATATCTTTCTCATTTACCGTCCACCACGTCCGGATGTAAACTCCAGCACCCGCCAATTGAACCTAAAAGTAATATAAATATAAAATTTCTCAGGGCTCGTTTGTTTATGCCCACGGTCCTGATGTTGCAGCGGACCACCTCGACAGAGTAACGATAAGTCTTTGCTTATTGATTATTTTCTCGCACATTCCCGCTTACAGCTCATCTTTGCTAGCATCATCGCCGTCACCACCTGGCGAGGGTCCTCCAGCACCTTGATAAATTTTAGAGATAATTGGATGCACGACTGACTCCAGCTCCTTCTTCTGAGCTTTCATATCCTCAGCCTCCGCGTCGGCGTTTGAGTCTAGCCATTTGATTGCCCTTTCGACAGCTTCTTCTACCGACTTCTTGTCGTCGTCGCTTAGTTTTCCGCCAAGTTTTTCTTTGTCATTTAATTGAGTCTTTAGAGAATAGGCATACGACTCAAGCTCGTTCTTTGCTTCAACCTTCTCTTTGACTTTCTTGTCATCGTCAGCAAACCTCTCGGCGTCCTTGATCATCTTCTCGATATCTTCGGGCGTGAGACGGTTATGATCGTTCGTAATAGTGATTTTTTCCTTGTTACCAGTTCCCTTATCCTCGGCGGAAACCTTGAGGATGCCGTTTACATCGATCTCAAAAGTTACCTGCAAATCATAAAGTACAACTGCACACTAACAAGTGCACTGAAGCAGCAACTCTCTGGACCGCAAAGAAATCTACCACAGCGCAGCGCTGGCGCTGAAAGCTACTACAGCTTTTTAGTGGTTCAAGTCTTGCTTTTTAGCTCTTTAGTGGTTATTCAAGTCTTCTATAGCTTTTTAGCTCTTTAGTGGTTATTCAAGTCTTCTATAGCTTTTTAGCTTTAGTGGGTTCTAGTATTAAAAGCTACTAGAACTTTTTAGTAGTTCTAGTATTGAAAGCTACTGTATAGTGGTTCTAGTAGATGCTTTAGCGATTCTAGTAGTTAGTAGGACAGGAACACAGTTCTCAGTTAAGAACGCAGTAAGCTTGTGGTATTAAACGCATTGACCGGAGTATATCGAGAAACACTGACTCAAACAAAGTAGTGTAACTGTCGCACGAGTACAGATTCCGTATAGCTAGATTATGTACTGAAGTGCAGAACGGAAAGTCATAAAGACACAAAGTGCCGTATAACTCTGCCAAACTATTTTTAAATTTTTTCATTCCCTTACCTCGATTTGAGGGACACCACGTGGCGCTGGTGGAATGCCAGTAAGGTCGAATTTTCCAAGCTGATGGTTATCCTTCGTGAGGGGTCGTTCTCCTTCATATACCTGAATAGTGACGGTGTGCTGGTCATCCGAAGCCGTCGAGAATACCTGGCTTTTCTTCGTCGGAATAACCGTGTTACGGGGAATAAGTTTAGTCATAACTCCACCGACTGTTTCAATACCGAGAGTCAAAGGATTAACGTCAAGCAGTACGAGGTCTCCAGTGTCCTCCTCACCACCTAGAACTCCTGCCTGAACAGCTGCTCCATAAGCTACAGCCTCGTCAGGATTGATACCGCGAGTTGGCTCTTTGCCATTAAAGAATTCCTTAACAAGCTGTTGCACCTTCGGTATACGAGTTGAGCCTCCGACGAGAACAATCTCATCTATGTCCTTTTTCTGGAGGTCCGCATCCTCAAGAACCTTTTGTACAGGCTTGAGCGTACTACGGAATAGATCCATGTTGAGTTCCTCGAACTTCGCACGAGTGAGCGTCTCCGAGAAATCCTCTCCCTCGAAGAACGACTCAATCTCAATTCTGGCCTGATGGGCTGTAGACAAAGTCCTCTTTGCCTTCTCAGTCTCCCGACGAAGTTTTTGAACGGCACGATTATCCTTACGAATATCCTTACCAGTCTTCTTCTTGTATAGCTTGATAAAGTGCTCCATCACACGCTGATCGAAGTCTTCTCCTCCAAGATGTGTATCACCGTTGGTCGATACTACTTCGAAAACGCCGTTATCGATCGTAAGAAGAGATACATCGAAGGTGCCCCCGCCCAAATCGAACACCAAGATGTTCTTTTCACCATCTTTCTTATCGAGTCCGTATGCAATAGCAGCGGCCGTCGGTTCGTTGATGATGCGCATCACGTTGAGACCAGCAATGGTTCCCGCGTCTTTTGTTGCCTGACGCTGGGCATCGTTGAAATATGCTGGTACCGTAACAACGGCGTGCGTTACCTTTTTGCCAAGATAAGTTTCCGCAGTCTCCTTCATCTTTGTAAGCACCATTGCAGAAATCTCTTCAGGAGCAAATACCTTCTCCCCTTGGCCAGTCTGCACTTGAATATGAGGTTTTTTGTTCTTCTCGATTACCTTGAAGGGGAAGTACTTCAGATCATGTTGCACAGAGCTCTCCGACCATTCACGTCCGATGAGGCGCTTCGCGTCGAACACCGTGTTCTCGGGGTTAGTGGTCAACTGATTCTTTGCGGCATCACCAATCAAGCGCTCACCTTCCTGAGTGAAAGCTACATAGGAAGGCGTGATACGATTTCCCTGGTCGTTCGCAATAATTTCGACACGCCCATTTTTGAAAACCCCCACACATGAGTACGTGGTGCCAAGATCAATGCCAATCACTGTGCCAACCGATTCCTTATCTTTGGCATCATCCTTCTTTGCAAAGACTGTACTGAGGATTGCAAGGTGAATTGCAAGACACCCAAGTATGGCAAGCCTCATCGCGGACCTAGACGTATGAAAACAAAACAAACCAAGAGTCCGCTAAATAACGTTGTTTAAAGCAAGTACTATACTATTTTATGTAGTAATAAAAATGAGTGATAAGTGTTACTTTATTGGTTTATTAGAAGCTCGTCTACTACTACGTATCACGTTCGGAAACATCTCACAACTAATGCGCTCTTCTACCCATAATTCTACGTATCACGTTCGCTCTTCTACTCGTATGTCTACGTATCACGTTCTGAAACAAGTAAAAACCACACTCATGTGCTGTTCTACCCTTATAAGGGTATTTCGCTACTTTAACGTTGCTAAACGATTGTTATGTGTCATGTAACACACAGTATGTAACGTTACGGTTACTGGCTGTCGACAACTGGCCAAGCTTTTGAATTGGCCACGTTTATACGTGTTGTTAACAACGCAGAGGAGCAGACCGGTTCACGAATCAACAACATCCTCCCTCCCAAAGATCCATGCAAAAGAGTAAAGCAATTCACCAACTGGCAAGTACCGTTTCAAAATTAATCGAATTCTAAAACGCACAATTTGTCTTCACAGTTAATACAGTCTCTATCATTACACACTTATTTAAACGTGGTACATTAACAAGAAGCCTAAACACTTGTCTCGTACGGTGCTGGGTGCCAAATGATAAGTGGAGTCGGTCGGATCTTTTAAATTCTACGAAAAGGAGAGGGCAGCGTCGAAGTACACGTCACATTGATCTGCCAAGTCCACGTTGACTTAACCCTCTATAAAGGACGCAATACATCAGCTGATTCATCCGAGTTCGTATTGTCTTTTAGAATGGGTACAAGCATACGCTAGACACCACACATGACGAAATACTCACACTCCCAAAAGCCAACGACTCTCAAGACCACCTGAATTAAGCAACTAAGTGACAGCACCCAACAGGGCACACGCCCGACATTAAATCATCGCTGTCGCCAGGTTATTTCTACTGATGGCTTCATCGATCGAATGCCAGTTTGCCGGCACTCGAAACTATGCCTTACAGTTATGGACGCCGCTACAAATTCTATCTATAATTATAACATATCTATCTATTACTTAGATCTTATAGGCCAGAGTTTTACTATTAGGAAACAGCTTCTCGAGACTTCTACGGTTAGCGTTACCGATCAGCCGGCGTATTCAAACAGAATCTATACGCTTCGCCTGTGCGGCGAACTGGACCTATGAACCTAAATTCCGTACATCAACATGTGGCTATAAAATATAAGAAATATGAAACTCACTTTTGGGTCCAGGCCAATTATAACTTTAAACACGGGGTTCTAACGCTTCGACACACACTATGGATCGCTACCGAGAGAATGTCTGCGACACACTTGACGATGTCTCGAGGCCTCGCTGGCCGGCTTTCGTGGACGACTCTGATTGGTCAATAGAAAACGTGACGTCACCAAGCTGTTTGCGGAGGTCCTTTAGCTGCCGCGGCAAAGTTTGATCTAGCCTAAATATCGTGAATGAGAAGACCCCTTTGTACCTTTATTTGGGAAGTTCAACTGTTTTGCGAGTTTTATTTGTTTTAAAGCAATTCCAGGTAAACTCAAATAATATATTCTAGTTAATAGCCAAAGATCTAAATAATTTTGAGGAGTGAGTCGAAAATAAAATGAAATTATTTGAAATTTCCACGAAAGCGCAGATTAATATCTATGAGTGAGCTTTTTCTTTTTTCTGGGGCAAATAGGGTACACTAAATATTTTTCACAGCATATTAAAAAAATTGAACGCGCCATACTTTACTCATATTTTACTATCTTCTTATATTGCGTATGATCATCCACAATAGTTTCTCAGTAGATATATGTATCTAATGGCCTAGATGTCGCAGGTATTCCAAATGTCTCATAGAAATAAAAAACAAATCCTCTAAAGCTAACTGATTCCGCGAACAGAGACTAAATGCAGAAATTTTCAGTCCAGTTCAGTAGCTATAGAAGCAGACGAAAGTGGACAGCGGAAAGATGTATTTTTGGTTTCGAATAATCATTGCCATTAAAGACTATTGAATTTAATTTTCAAAGGACGGAAAACCCCATTTTTTTATTATTCTAATTGACGAAGAGAGCCGTGACTTCTTTTGTATTGGGAGATCGTTGAGGATCGTGTGTCCTGAAAACTGTTTCTATTTTTTTTTTGTTTCTATTCAACTTACTTTTAATGAAATGTGTATATGCATTGTAAGAAATTGTCATTGTGGAAGTACACGTCATCCATTCGAGCTCGTATTCCTAAAGCTGATTCTCTGCCTGCTGTTTAGTACTGTGACGATGTGTCTATTAATAACTAGTTGGCATTTGTTCGACCTAACACAGTTTCAAGTTATAATCCTGTTCAAACTTACTAAGTTAAGCAACGTCTCATGAAACGCACGGTATGGATCAGTCCTTACATATGACTTTAATTAAACGAATAAATCGTAACTAAGCCAGATATAGTGGATCTTTGGCTTTACCTCAAGCCAGTTCGAATTAAAGCAAACACTTCTAAGTGGATATTTTATCCGTTCCTTCGCATCTTTTCGCTTTTTTAGGCTTTGCTAACGATAGTGAAATAGTCTTAATAGTCAGCATAGATAACAAATTAATTTCGCGGACTGGGCTCCTCCTGGAAACCCATGACACATTCTTACAGACCAAAGTGTTGATTTCTGTTGTCCGTGTTGACAAAGCACAGTACAATACAAGGGTATCTGTCTCTCAATCTGTGTACAACATTACACTTGAGGCTGCTTACTACTCGACAAAAAAATCATAGAAAGCAACATGTGGTGTTTCAGTAGAAGCTTATCGAATGACTTATCGAATAGACAAAGCTTGCGTGACTCTGCTATAAAAGTTCAAGTTTAATTTCACGAACATATTTACTAAACTAACTATACTACTAAACCAAATAATAATAATATTATTATTAGTATTATTATTGCATCAGAATATTGGAAGGGTAAAATAGTTCACAGGGATTAGCGTGGCCCATCGGGAGCTTAAAGAACAGTTTGTTAGGTCAATTTCAGAGGATATCTGAGAACAAAGGGTAGCCGTAAACTGAATTGAATCTAAAAACGAAACAATTAAAAGAAAAACGGCTTTTCAAAGGAAACTTCTCAAGTTACTAAAAAGTGTATGTTTGTAGTTTACGGATCACGTAAAACAGATCTACTGAAACGCAGTCAGGTTAGCTAGGTTATATATGTCCATGAAAAATGAAAATTTCAAAGAAAAGATTCCAGTGATTGCTGAAAACATGGGGCACACCATCGCTGCACGTCAATTGTCTACAACATCACATTGCAACATTAGCTCTATATCGATACATTTTGGCATTTAGTAATTTGCATATTTTTGTCTAATTCCCATTAGTAAACTAGAATTGCGTCAACCGACAAAGCGCAGGCGAATAATTTCTTTCTGCAAAACTTAAAAAATACTTTATCCTTCATTAACAAACATGATAATAATAAATAAGTAAATTCCAGAACTTCAATTACATACCCAGCCTGCTGAACACATAACTACTTAAATAAATAATTTGTAATTTGCATTTATGTTCCTTAAAACTGCTACACGGAACAACGGTGGTTACTAATAACCGTCGCATGCATCACAACATTTTATCACATTTCATATATGTATAAAACTCATGTTTCTTTATGACTCAGCAATAAGAAAGTTGTACATAGGTGTCACTTATGTATGGGTTTGGTTTTAAATTCGAAATATTGCAGGTGCATCTGCGAGGATCGATTCCTCCTGCTTTTACTGAGATCAATTAACCTTTGTTACTTACCAGTTAACCTCAAATACTCGAGAAATGAAGTTTCTCTATTGTACACTGAAAGAAGTTAAAAACGCCCTTTTGGCATGGTCATATATATATATAAAAGACCAACATGTCATACTACAATTTAAATTTGGGCCTGTTGGTAACAGTAAGCTAGACCAGCTGTTTAATGGATCAAAAGCTGCATTTACTTTGAGAGAAGTCAACTATAACATTAGACTCATCGTTAAGATCAATGACTAGCCAGATAGTGGAAAAGGTGACGAACAAATTCATGCTATTTACATGTCGAACAAACTGATCTAATAATATATTTGCTTCTATGCATTGTTTTTACATTGTAAGCCAGTGGTGCCTCCCCATGCTAGCGCAACATGTTTTTCTGCTAAACAGCGGGACACGTGGCAGTCAAGGTTCGAAACCGAACGTAGACACACTTTGTTACCATCTGAAGTAACGGCTTACTTACCGGATGTAAAACACAAAAAAATAAGCGAGGCGGAGTGGTGCGTCCGATCCAAGCCTTCTGATCCCGATACACGGCATCACTAATTGTTCCGTATGCAGGGCTTGAAACACTCACCGTCTGCTTTCCTGTAAGTAGATCACATAATTTCTATTCGTCTATAAAATCTATGTGTTCTCTAGTTTCTCTTAATCTTTTGCACACTCTTTAGATGATTTGTCCAACAAAAATTATGATGCAAGTGTTACCATCGTTCCCACGTAATTCGACTCGACGTTTGAAGGAAACGTTTTGAAAATTCGTTAAGCATCATAAGCACAGTTTTTTAAGAACCTTTTTCATCATTTTGTGTGCATTCCCTTTCTTGGGATGATCAAATCAAAAATTCAAATCCAGCTTGATAGACTAATTAACAGAAATCACATCGGAGACAGTACAAACATAAAATTAGCGGGATTGTATGCGAAGTTCATCTGTGATTACGGCCTAGCCAGTAGACAGTAACCATAGGCAGAATACGAAATTATGATCGCTTAATAATAATATAATGTAAGCAGCAGCTAATGCAAAGAAAGGTCGTTTGTTGTCCTGTTGAAAATTATAACTAGCTCTTTTAGCTGGCCTGTAGAACTGTACTGAACCGCTGTACTACTCGGCTAACAAAATTCTAAATAAACACAAGAATCGCGCGTTCCCATGAGTTTATTTGAGGGGATGCTTAAAGACGGTTTGTTCTATTCCTTAGTGTATCTAGGACAAAACGTGTGTATGTCGTTTATGTATAGCGAAACCAATCTGCGTTGAATAGGGTGCCGTGGATTTTTTTTAAACTCATAACTCCTTTCCTGTTTTGATTAGAGATTACGTTGTTTTAAAGACCGCATATTTCCAGCTACTCACTTTGTTAACACTATCCTAGTTGTTGCTATTTAAACTACCGCAGAATCTACTGGAGAACCTGCGATGTTTACCGTTTCGCCGTACTGTCTGCTTAGACTTCAACATTATTGTCTATTCGTCTTACTTTTTTTCCAAGTAGCGTTTTCCTTTAAGCTGCCTGTATTTGTTTCCTATTAATTACGGTTGACTTCTAACATCGACTGTTAAATGCTGTAAATGATACTGTAATAACGTACGTCTTGAAACTTTGAACTATTTTACTTTCATTTGTTTTGAGTGAATTAGTATTGCGTTTGGCGTAAAGATCCTTTTCAACTAAATGTAAATTCTACTTCGGCACAACTACTATTTCTGAGGTTGCTCTTAAAATGACGCTGGTGATCTGAATAGAAGGAAACATCCGTTCTGGCCGTTAACCACTGCTTGAGACACCTCGCTTCTAGCTATCACAATTAGGTATGCCTACATCCGGTTTAGAACCAACACCATTTCTCATCACAATATGTTTTTAAGCTTAGCAAACAAGCAAGCTACCGTTCCAGTATGACTGAGGCGCACTGGCAGTCTAAATAAATATACATACAGATGTTCTCATTGCACCGTGTCGTCGGACTTGCCGAGACGCAATGATCTCTTTTAGCTCCCTTTCTTCCTTGACTTGTGCTGCTCTTTTCTCCTTAGGGTACGGCAGTGTGTTGGCCTCCGGAGGTCAGTTCTCTTTCTAATTGCCCCAAGGCATCTCCCATACAATACAATACAATACAATACAATGAGTGAACAGGTCGCGACCTAATTGTCAGTCTGCTACTTCAAACCGAGTAAATATACGCTATTTGGTAGTGGTATATTATCACAGCTAGCTGTACAACCTATAGGTAATAGCTAATGTAGGTATCTTTGTGCAGATTACTTGTTACGCCACAGATTACGCCATCGCAGGGTAAAGTGTTACACAGAAACCGTAAGCGTGCTTTCCGTGTTTGATCCATGCGTTGAGGGAGTCAGCGCGTTAACTAGACTGTTGTATAGGAAAGCTTAACTTCGGCTCTTGGTGTCTTCTTTAACTGCTTTGTTTAGCTTTTTTTAAGGGGAGATCATTTCGTCTTTACGTCGACTAGTAGTGTTTTCATAGTTATTATAATTCAATTAATCAAGCGAGACATGAAATTCGTAGTTGGCTTGCTTACAATGACTATTCTCCCCAGAAGTTCGTGGGCATTCTTCAGTAAATAACCGAGATATAGAATCAGCTACCAGCAAATATTCGTAAAAGGTGTTATCTATACCCTTATTGTGCAGTTCAACTTGGTAGCGCATATTCAAATGTAATTGTAACAGTGGTCAACAGATCCGAGTTCTACTCGGCAAAGATGGTTAAAAGTCAATACAAAAAAAGAAAAATAGCAAACAAGTTTAGAGAGAATGTTTAAAAGCATCGTCTCATTGAGTCGCTCAAATATTGTTTTTATACGTTCAGCTAGTAAGCGTCTGATCCTAATCGATTATTTGTACGGAATGTATCTGCCGAGCAAGACGAAACATATTTAAAACGGTATCCACTTACTCCATTTTTTTCCTATTGAACTTCTCCATCGGTACTGTAATGCAAACAACTCGTCACCACCATCATTAGCCGTAAATCTAGTTCATTCCAGGCTCAGACCTCAATTTGTTATTGTTATTGCTACCGCTGTTGCTATTGTTGTTACTGCTTTTCCTTTTGCTTTTGCTATCGTTGTTGTTGTTGTTGTCGAATTTTATGCTATTGTTGATATTGCTACAGCTGAGTCTACCGTTATATAGCGGCACTGTACCCGAACTGGGTGCTGTAGCCGAAGAGCTCGGACGGGCGAAGCTTCCGCTTCGTCCCCGTGACCTTCTATCCTCAATTGTCGACAACAACAATAACAACAACAAACAGCCCCGAGGAAAACGATCATATCAGGCATATGACTAGCGTCAGACACTGGAGAGCGGATTCTGGTTCCTGACAATTCGTGCTGCCGCCCATCTCGACAGCTGAACGAATGAAGCTGTTTTGAACGGCGGACACACGCAGTAACTACTATCAAATGTCAGAATCAGGCAGCATTTGAAACAATATTCCATAGGTTAGAAGAGGTTAACTTGGCGGCGGGTGTTTCGACTGCCAATACGGCATACATAAGAGCACGTAACTCACAGTTTGTTGGTTTAGTGAGGTAATTCCCGGTAGCTGAATAAATTGCGACAGTTCTAAAATGTTATTAAAACTACCCCACTTGTCCCTAGTTTTACCCAATGCAACTAAGGGTATCTCCAATTGATGGAACGCACTGTGGTAAAAACAAAACTATAATGTGAAATCGGTTTTGTTGTGCTTATAGGATTCTTGCGCATTACAAAAAAACATTGATCTGCGATAGCTAATGGGAAATTAATGTTTGTGATCCTGCTCCTCCAATTAACTGTGTACTCATTTACCTACAAGGAGGTCTTCTACTTCGCCAAGAGAGGTCAACCTTTATAATAATTTTCACTATATAGAGATCTTCGTTAATTTTTTTTCTTTTCCTTCTGCGTATAACCTGGACAGTGCGCGCGCTCTTCATTTTGTTTTTGTCTGATTCTCTCTGTCTTCGCTTCCGTCTCTAGAACTGCCGCCAACAAGCGCTAGGCACACAAATAAACCGACCGACAGACAGGCAAAAAAAATACAGACCAAGCGTTGCTATCCGGGGGTTTTGATAGAGCGGTATAAGGAGGGAAAGGGGCGTTAGTGACGGTTAGTGTATTCTCGTTCATCGAGCAGCAGCAGACGACGACGACGACCCGCACGCTCCTTCGAGTGGCGTTCTCTTTTCTCATCTCGTTTGCTCGTAGCTCTCAGCTGCTTGCTTTTAGTGCCACAGCCTCTGCTTCCCGTAGGGCCATCCGCTTGAGGGAGTCACTCGTATTTTGCCCCCATCACAGAGCTTCTTTTCCATTTTTCTGTGCCTTTAAATGATTACCTACTGTTCGTAACGGCAGCATGAATCACTAGACGAAGAAATATCACAGGCATTGCGACGGAATCAGCGCCTCGGCATTTAATTGGTACAGAAGGAGAGCGACACGATCTTGATGATATCATCCTACGTTGCCTTTGCTTGGCTGTTAGTTATCTGGCAGGCATCTGATTAATTGACCTACTAATGGAGTACAGCTGAGCGTCAGTCTTGTGCAAGTGTTAAACATCATCAGATCGTACATTTTCATAGCTTCTGTGTACGTGTAACGTGAGCTTTTTGTGTCCTGCTTTAGCCACTTCACCTTGTCGGTCCTTTAGTCGTCTAAAAATTAGATCAGTAAAATTCTCTTGGATAATGCTGCTGCAGTTTGAATCTGCCAGCTGATCTTATTGTACATCTGAAATGCGTTGTGCAGAACAGGAAACTCTGTGGATGTAATTAATTTGTGTGGCACTAAATGTGTGGGTTGATGAATAAGGAAAAAGGAAATATAGAACGATCGTGTTAGGTGTCTGTGTTTCTGCTAATTTGCGGAATCGAGTGGACAGACAGAGGAAAATAGATTTCTGTCTACTACTTATCTTCATTTTTAGCATTAATGTAATTATCGTGTTTTCTCATACACAATATATCCTGATGTTTTACTAATAACAAAGGCCAAACAAAAAAACAGTCGTCGATAGGCGTGGCTGGAAAGAAAAACACAGAGGACGCAGAAAAGCACCCTAGAAAGCCTCAGACAACAGGCAGATCGTATGAGAGGCTCAGAGGATACACCGCCAGCTGACAGGTACGATAAACCATACACTGAACGACTAAGGCAACGATGCTTGTAATTTCCCTGCCAATTGTGTACAAACTAATGAGCTTAGTCACGATAGCAGCACCTACAGCATGTGTTATAATGTAGTATTGTATAACAAAAACATTGGAAGACAGCTTGATGTGCAAAGTGCAAAACCGTGCGGACATAGCGGTCAGCAAGTGTCAAACCGAACAACTTGCCTATAGAGAAAGAGTGGATCTGTATAATATAATAGTGCGTATCATATCTACCGGAATAACCTCCTAGTATTTGTTTATTGTTATCGAATTGTTATCGCAGCACTTCAATTAATCATGCATACGCTTTTTTGTCTATTCGCCCTGAGTATTTACTTAATAGAGGTGTCCTGCAAAAATTTAAAAAAACATCACAGGCAGGCCAATAGCCACGGTCCAGTTGTAAATTTCAGGGTAAATTCACACGTGGAAATAAAATCGATTTTTGTCAAAAGTAGTCAATGCACAGACGTCATGTTCAGTGAAATTTTTTCTAGCTTGCCTTCTTTAGAATACCCGAGTTTAACAGTCTGACTTTATTGGCATTCGATTGGTTCCGATAGTCTCCGTAAACCTTTAGTGAAAATACCTTCAAAGATTAGTTATCATAAATTAAAAGTTTAAATTCAGAAATGTGCAATTTTTACTATTAGTTTCACGCAGTTGGGCAATGACACTGGAAAACAATTGAGATGCGGCAGACAAACGTCTGCCGCATCTCAGCTGTAAAATCTGTAAAAATACAAGCATTAAATGTTACCTTCCGATATTTTTTCTTCGTCTACACCTCGCGTGTACCATGTCCTGTTGAAGACAAAAGAGTACTAATAAGCTTTTGTTTAGGATAGGCACTCAGCTTTCGAGCTGCAGGAATATAGCAATGCCGCCCCCTTGCTCAAACGTCTCTGACCCTGAGTTATGGTACCCAAGTTACAACGAATCATGTAAATAGCGTATCTGGTTATATATCAATATCGTGGGCTGCAAATACCGTAAACGTTACTCTAGAGATCTAAACCTATTACGTGTATTCATTATTACACAGTGATTCCAACGATGCCTTTAGACCACCGTAGATAAAAGTGCCAATATTGTCCAAGTTTCAATATTATTTCAATATTGTCCAAGTTAACTGCTTGCAAGTGATCATGAGAGCACACTTCAGCTAGCACCCTTAAAGTGTCGGGCAACATCTCGACCTTGGAGGATGAGGCAGGGAACCGGTAGGATAGGTGTTCACGTCTGGGCCATTTAAAATAAGATTATAAGCAGGCACAAATTATACTAGGAATAAAAATATTTTTAAGCCCACCTTGCCTTCGCTAGTTCTCAAACGAGCCACAAGATGCAAAAACACTCTCAGTGACTCCATTGTTCCAGCGCTCGGTTTCATCGGCGTTATCGTAGTCAATGTCAAACTAATCAAAGGTTTGTCGGCGGCTAACGACGGGCCAAACTATAGTGGAATCTTTGCGAGGGTAAAATAACTCTGAAAAGATGGGTATTAAGATATAAAACGGCCGCAGTCAGCAGCGACTGCGACATTTTATCTCATAAATATATTGAAATTCCTATAATATTTTCTGGATATTGAAATATGCTGCCTGCTTATTCATAACTGGAAAAATATTGAAAACGTGCCAAAAGGTACATGGCTAGTTTTCCTTTTCAGAGTGCCTTAGCAATGCATCAGAGTGCATCACTTCCCAACGAGAGCCAATTTAATAAGATGGTCACCTCAAGTAAAAAAAATATACGTGGCAATAACTTCAAATTTTCAACATTCGAAATTACAGTTAGTAAAATCACATGCATCAGTATGCGCTCACGCAAGTAAGATTAATTCTACGACGCTAACGCTAGCTTTTTTTACACAAGGGTGTGTGAGACAATAATTTCGCACTTCATGGAAGTACGTTCATTTGAGGTTAGGCCATATTTGATGTCAAAAACGTCTTTTAGACTATATGTATATATATATATATATATATATATATATACATACAAAGTAATATGTTTGAATTGGGGAACACTTTGGCGAGGCGTTTGTCGTAACGGGCATGCGTTCATCTATTACACATCATACCAGATGAAAACAAGCGCTTTCTGGAACAAAAAAACAAATCTGCTATAGCAGATAACAGTTCATCGTCTTCGGAAAAATAACCTATATTAAATTTTCATGCTGGACGAAGCCAATAAAGACTAAAAAACATTCCTTTTTAACCGAAATCCATGGTTTATGTTACTGCCAATTTGCGTGGGGCCTCTAAAAAATCCGAGGCAGACTTTAAGATAAACCGGAAGATTCATAGTAGAGTTTCAATTTAAAAGATGCGCAAATTGATCATAGCATAAAAAAGAAACACTTTCGTACACTTAGCTTGTCGATATGGAAATGAACGGCCATTTTGTAGAGCAGAACATCAGCCACTCATCGATATTTATCTAAACAAACTCCAAGTAATTAATAGTCTTTTAGAGACTTTTTGCGCTTCTCGGCTCTTTTGAGCTATGGCATCAGTTCACATACAGTTACCATTCATTAGTTACGTGTGAATATATGTGTTCGTGTGATCTGTATGCTGTTTGACGGATGCGTTCATTGTCGTGACTCCTGTTCGACTCGTCGGGCGGGTAATGCTGCTATCACTGGTGGCAATGGAATGATTTTTCAGGGTTGATTACAACAGATCCCTTCTATACTCCATATGATATGTATTATCCCTATTTCATTCCCGGCGTTACTCTAGATGTTGGTGTTACACGTGCATCTGGATGCTGCCGCAGGCTTTATTCGCTATTGTCTGCTCTCGAGGCTATTTTTTTGGCTTGCTGACTGTTGAAGTGAAGGGCCAGTTGCTGCACAAAGAACATCCGTTTGTTGTTCGGATTTGCTGTCCTTTCGACATCATGAACGGCATCACCGACACCATTATTACTGTGAGTGTAATTGTCGTCGGCAGCCATTGCTATAGTTATATAGCTGCTGTTGTTGTAGGGGTCTGCAACACCGTCATAAGTGCGCCATTGATAACTGCCGGCTTCTCCTGCTAACAGATATGTTACCATTATCATTGCTATTGTTGTAATACACTGGTTTTAGGCCCGGTTAAATTCGAAATGTAAGAAAATTTAAGATTTAATGTGGTTTATATTCTACTAGCCCCGTACGTCACTGTATAATTGATAAATTTGCGATCACACTGTGCGCTGTAACGAGGATGAAGCAGCCCGATCTTGCCAGGAAACATTAAAGAGGCGTGACAGATCGATCCTTTGTTCTATTGATTATTTCAATGGTGAGCAGGTTCGTGAATCACGCAAGTACTATCGCTGTTTTAATGTTCATTAACACGGTCTGCTGTAAGGGCTCCAGTTTGCTCAAGACCTTTGCACACACAATATCAGAGTAGTTCACGCAGTCACGAGTCTGCCTTACCGCCGCATTAGCGGCTCACTACTATCTTGCTGTATAGCATCTTGCTTCAGCGTGTTCGGTTTAAACTACAGAAGAAATGAATTCCTCTTTGTTTTACGTCACTGGCATATAAGCGACATACTTTTTTTTCATTTTTGGTAGTACGCCAAGTCAGGTATTTTTTGTCAAATTAATAGGGCTGCCAGGTCGACGCTGCACCAGCTCCGAAGGCTTTGCACGGCCAATCAAGCCATTGAACGGATAAACAGTATATTTTGGTTCGTTAAACAGGACAGCCATATTTACATTTGTATCAGCATACATAAAGCCATGTAAGCAGTAACCAACGTCAGTTGTAGTTGAGTCGTACAACGCATTGTAGATGCTCCAGCGTAGCTAGACGCACAAAGCGTTATAGATTACATTATCTGGCAAGATAACGGGCTGGGACGTTTCTTGCTGTCGATGTAGTCAACTTATGGTAACGGAGTTGATTACTGAAAGCTGACTGGACGGTGATGTACACGTGTATAGTACGAATACGTATAAATAGAGGTAATCCGCCTTCATACGGTGCTGTAGGAATCATGTGTCACAATTGATCTACTGCACTAATCATGTTTAGATGTGTTTACATAATATTGCTTTTCTGCTCAGTGGTTCATCAGCTATAGCTACTCACTACGCTACTACTAATACTTACTAAACCTTAATTCTTTTTTTTTTTTTTTCGTAATATTTAGGTAATATGATGCTTGAATTTAAAAAATTACAACATTTAGAGAAATCACGATACCTTGATGAAAATTATCAAATTTTTTACGTATTATTATATACTCACTGTTTTGCGGACGCTTTCCAGATAAAACCTGTTCTTGGATGAATAACTGTATACATCTAAAGACGTGTAGCATTTAATGTAATCTGTCGGACCTGAGCCGCTGCTCTTACAACTCCCCCTCTGTCATTTTGAATGGATTGTGTATTTTAATGCCTATATCGTTAGCGCGAGTTACTTATGGTTCAATAATAATAATCATTATAACAATCTACATACTTTCATTTCGTGTTGCGACGCAGTACCACGCCTGATATGAACCGCGATCAGTGTAGAAACTGATTGCAGTTTAACTTAACGTTTACTTAATTCCGTTAATCATTTGCCAGTGCCGCCCGCCCTAATATTCGAACTTCGTACGGGCAGACGTCGCGAGTATGTTAATGACTGTTTGACTTAATGGCTGATGAAGCTAGCGTGTATTTCGCTCGACTCAATCTATTTCTCCTGCTTTTACCGGCATCACCCGCCTGTAACTCCGTGCAAACTGTCGCATTGCGCACTTGTCTGTTGTCTTCATGCGGATGTTGCTAACCCTATCATGGACCTATTCGACATAGGCCTTACAGGCGCCTTCGCTATTTTACCGAACAGCTACGAAGCTGTGAGTAGCTGGTCTAAACTCAAGGTAATAAATAGTTTTGTACGAAAGTGTCATGCCAGAATTCATTACGACAGCATTGCTTAGCACGACGAATACGACCTCGAACATGTTGCTTCACGATGGTTAGATTGACTTAGTAGTACATAGAAATTTAAAGCTTAGCTGGAAATCACTTTCTTATAATTAAAATTGAACTTAGTAATTGTCGATTTGCACATGCAGGACGAAGTTCCCTGACAGTAAACTCTGCCAAAAAGGTTCGTAGACAACTTTAGCCACCAAGTTCGGAAAAAACGGAAATTATCGTACTAACTTGATTTTTTGCATGAGATGAATATTAGAGCTTAATTCCGACAGCAGCGACATTTCGCGGGGAAGCTAGAAGCCAATGTACCGCAGCACCTGATCAGAATATATGGTTTTTGTGTCAGTTTAAAGTTTGGCCTTACAGTGTTCGCATACGCCGGTTGATGATTTGGCTTAAGCCATTCTTATTTATTCGAACTATGAACGATCCTGTAAATAATATTTTACGTTCAATTAAGTCGCGTTTTTTCTGTTTATCCAAGCAATGCGGTAACCTGCTATTTATTACAGAAGCAGACCTACAAACGCAGTATTTAGTAAGATGGCGTTTCTTAAGAGCGATTTTCAGACGATTTTATTTTGTTCCTTCTCACGCTATTGGCCCTTGTTATGTGCAGTGTATCTAGGACCGGAGGTTCCGCGCGCGCGCGCGCGCGCGCGCGCGGTTAAGGGGCCATCTTCTAATAACAGGTGGCGGTTGGTGATAGTTTGTATGAATCTATATTACCGCAACTGATAACTACGATTGCAACGCGGCTCGGGAAGTCTGCGTTATCCAATACGTTTCAAGGTTAGGGAAGACAGACCAGTGTTATGAGCGAAGGTGGCAGGAGGCCAAGATATCATCTGTTTTCGGCTTATACGATGACCACGAAACCTATGAAAGAGAATGTTCTAGAGAACAGACGAACCCAGCTAAATGGTTGTTCCATTGTAGATCCGGGCGTGCATCGTTGGCGCTTACTGATTCATAATAGAACACCATGGCGTTGTTGAAACTGCTTAAAGCAGGGCCAACAATAGCGTTAATCGCAGTGGTAGTACCATCTACCTATCACTACTATTTCTGCTAAGAAAAGTCAAATTTGAAGAGTAATAGTAATTATTATAAGTAGAATACAAAGAACATTCGTCTATTTAGATTGCCCGACCAACCGCCTGCCAGCGCCGCCCGCCCGTGCCATGCGGGGAGAATGAGTGACGGTCAGATACTACGATATTATACGATGAGATGATGGCCGGGCGGCCTTACTTCGAGTCAATGTCAAACTGTGGCGGCCAAAATAACGAGAAGATGATGACTATGGCGGTCCTAATAGTTATGAGAGTGGTAGTGCTGATGAAAAGTGAATCTTTGACATGTACATCCAGGTTCATTGAACATGCCCAGGTTATGAACCCCATACTTGACAGCATACAGTTTGCTGTGCGCGAATGTGCAAGTAAAACCACGGATTACAGCATCTTGGACCGCTGAACGATTATCGAAGAAAGAAAAGAAGTTGTTTTATAGTTAAAATGATGGAAGCTTAGAAGACATCCATTGATGTCTGTTACTGTATAGATCACAAACGCAATAGATGCCATTCCTAAAAAACGGTGGTAATAATGATGATCTTCATTGCCTTACTAATGCATATCCACTTGCATACATCCTTTATGCAAGCGATTATTCGGTTGTACCATATTCTATCTAATTGGGATTGATTACATCATTTACTCATTTCACAGTGATTTAGCTACTGGCGTAATACCTGTATATAAAAATCCGTACACGGCAGACGGAGCAGGGCGAAATCAAACAATGTCTTTTGTTAATGCAATGAGATCCGGATTTCTTTGGCTATAAACGTCGTTCGACATTCTGTTCTGTTAACATGCTGACGGTATGATGGCAGCTCTAACGTAAGCCTCTTTGAAGATCTGTAGGCCCAGGTAATAGCGTCAACTTCGTATTATACTCTTTCCAGGGAAACCTATGTGGAGACTAAGCTGACAGAGTCTTTGCTGTCATACTATAACACGGGAACTTCGATTTCGAGAGCTAGATTTTCCGAAACCTTAACATAACCGAAACATTAAATATTGAATTACGTAGTTTATAATGGCTGGCTAATATGCGCACTAACGTGATGGTTTGTTCTACAAAGGGAAACCCGTAATAGGTGTCGTTTTGTCCAATCCTGCAGCGCGTAACTAGATCAGGCAGCGATCTGAATCACCTTATTCAATGAGTCAGTGACGCGGAAATGACTTTCCTCGTCTTCTCGTTCTTGTTTTCAGGTCAGGCCTACACGACAGGTCAGTGGACTACACGGTGACTGACAACCGCCCGAATAGTAGCTTTTGAACACTCTGTACTAGCTACTCGAAGAAAAGCCAGTCTCTCGTTTAGCTGATCCACGGCTGGTCAAATTACTAAGTTACCTGTAAACAGGTTGTTGTAGCAGCTCGGCAGACTCAATATAATAGACCGCATGCCAGTGTGTTAATGTTTTAACCGTATTCACTAATTGGCAACAAGGGGCTTAGTCCCACATTCGGTAGATATCTGGAAAGATAATTGTTTAAACAGAAGTCTGTCTTCCATGTTCCCGGCTGCTTCTTCTGTATAGAAGCTGATTAATACGATAGGATCCGTCTATGTGTGCCTGTTTTGAGGAAGAGTGTATTTAGTGGTAATTTTTTGTGGTAAGTTTTATCATACCCGTCGTGAAAAAATAAATATTGTGAACGGACAACCAGAGGTTTTTAAAAAAAAAATATCATTTGAGACGACCAACCATATTATCTGCTTCAAGTTCAAGGAGAGTACTACCGAAAAACGACACAATATTTTTTTTTATGACGATCAGACTGGGTCTATAAAGTGGATGCTAAAGTAGTTTGTAATGCATTGCTGTCGTGGGGATTTTTTCGTTGTCTCTAGCTAAGAACGAACTGGGTCTCGACTAGTGTAGGTCGTCATCAAATATCCAGTTAATTATAGGACTAGAATATAGTAACCAATTCTAGTAAACGATGAACAAGCACCGTAGTTTTTTCAACAGTGGAACGCTTTGGTTGGTACCACCAAAATATTTAAATGTAATCAGGTTGGTGCTTATCGTGAATGCTTTTACTCGTAAAACCGCGAATCGTTTGCCGTTTCGAAAATGGAGAAGTCCTAAAGAAAAACTGCAGCGGTAGTAATAAAGGAGTGGGTCATCACTGAGAGATTTTCTATTGTAATCAGCAGAATGCTTTATCAGCAACAGAAATAAACAGAAACGGACCAAGAGGTGAAAATCGCGTAATGCTTCTATTCATCTGTCATTATTCAAGCCAATACATTTTTTTTTCTACGATAAATCCTGTGGAGGGGTGTATGCCGGCTTTTCTAATAGAACTATACTGTGCTTACTGTCATCTATCTATATATCTGTTGGATGCCTACAATCATATCCGTAGGGAAGCCTTATTAATAACAATGCCATTTACCGGACAATCTAACTGATGCGTTTGTAGAGGATGCTACATCAGAGCTGCCTGAGTGTGACTGGATAACCTTTGCTATGAGTTAGAAGCGAAATAAAGAACACTTCGTTGTGATAATGCGTTAAATGCAAATATTTGAAGTGTTTTAGAGCTACTGGATAGGGGTAAACAAATAAGCTGAACCGATCAAATAAAGATTGAGTTCTATCAAGACTATCGCCGTATATATCGTATACGTTCAGATAATACTCACTTGTTTCTAAACGTTCACACTCGCATAAATTACCTAGTGGCAGTCTATCAGTTGGGCAGTTCTGCACCCATCATATTGAGAATAATCGATTCTTTTTTTTTTTTTTTTTTTTTATAAATGCAAATAAATTTTGTCAAACACGTTTGACGATTTATGCTTCCATTCAACTAAAAACAATTGATATAGTTGGGGTGTTTTTTTTTATTTCTATTTACTGCTATTATTACGATATTTACTAGTATTTTCATATAGGTACTAACGATGCCCACATGGCATCGTATTCTACAAGTTGGCAAACAAATTGGCATAGCCGAATAGGAACAGTCTTATTTTAATTACTTACTTACTTACTTAATTAATACTTTATTAATTAATAACTAACTCAACAACAAGCTTAATAAGTTGAAACTGAATTTACGGTCATTTTGTGATTGTCGATATCTCTCTGTTGTCTAGTTGGAATGGCGAACTGGTTCTGTGCATGCGCCTGCCTGTGTTTCCTGCATTGTTTGTGTAAGTGTATATTTATTTAATCAGTAATAACCTAATCAGTCATCTGTCAGCACCAAGAGTAGTAACCTTCAACCTAAAGCTTCGAGTGCTGATTCCTGCAATGTAATAATTTAAGTGATTAAGTGACTGAACGATCCGGTTCGCGTTCATAGCTTGTTGATGAGTGTCATATATATATATATATATATATATATAGTCTGAGTCAGTGCACAAACATTCGTCCGGTTCCTTTGCTTTTGATCGTAGTCAACTATTTTCAGTGTCGTAGAATCTTATTTGCTTGGGTGCTATACCATTTAAAATTCATTCAGCGATCAGCATTACATATGTATACTTGTATGGCAGTCTATCGATAACAAGCGATAAAATCAATATCATATTCTAATAATGCTTCCCGTCAAGAAGTACTTAATAAAACATGTGCGTCAATAAAGTAACTTAATGAGTCTGCAGTCATTTTGATCTATATTTTTTTCTTGTTTCTTCCACCGTTTTTTATTATTAATAATCAGTGATCATTATTAGCTACCGTTGTTAATCATGCGATTAGTTACAGTCTATTACTCTTGACTCGTACGATGTTTGTTCTTATTGTGTTTTGCCTGACCCAAAGGTCGAACATTGTCGTCAATGAGTCAGGTTCTGTCAGGCAGCGCTGGAAACCGAGTCTTTAGAAGTAATTACCAACAACAGCCGTTACTGAAGTGACAACCACAACAGTCAGTGCAACGTAGTTGTGGATAGGCTACTAACCACTGCGATGACAAAAACCTTGAAGTTTTTGTTTCGTAGCGTGGTTGGTCTCCCTTTTTCCTTCCACCTCGATGTGGATGTCGTCGCCGTACGATGGTCGTTCATCTGTCCATCATGATCCCGTTATTATTCCGTTCCTCCTTCAATGATACTTGTACCATTGTTATAAGTCGCCGTATATAATAATAATAACAGCGACAACGATAATAGCAAGTGGGGCAATGATGATAATCTTTGCTTTGGGGCTGGAAGGCTGGGACTTACCGTAAACCTGCTACGTTTGTGCATATAGTAGTTCTTGTCGTAGAGAGCCAGCAACTGCAGGAGCTGTCGCTGCCGCCGCCGCTGTCGCCGCCGCTGTCGCCGCCGCTGCCGCCGCCGCTGCCGCCGCCGCTGCTTAAAGGATGACTGAAACAGTGAGATAAAAACCTTGACGCCGCCGTTATTGCAGACGTCGGTGGTGTTGCTGCTGCTGTTCGTTTATATGCGAAGATGACCTGACCGGCTCCCCCAGCACAGGTCGTAGTAACAGCAGTAGCGCTAACCGACGGGAGGATCGCTATGATTGTTGGACGTCCGACTGACTGAATATTGCCACTAGACTGTGCGGTTCGACGCGGAACGCGTTGCAATAGACGGCAATGTTATTTATAATAGCATTTTATAATAATTTCTATAATAATACAACAATTATACATGATATAAATAGCGTACAGTTTTGGACTCTTAGATTTGTCATCGTCTTTTGCCTTTCTTTCTATTTACATTTAGCCCAAATAGTAATCCTGTTATATGCTTAAATATAGATCGTACTATGTTATGACGACCTGATACGCTTTGCACAACGTACACACAATACCAAGTACCATATTAGATTTTTTGAACATGGATCCTTGAAGTATATGTTTCTTGTTTAAGAAGCGTTTTCGCTGAGATTAAGTTAGTACTGGCGCATAGATAAAAATGGCCGGCAACCAAGTCACCCTGAATACGCTAATGCCTCTATCCAGGGCTTTGAGATGAATGTCGAAAAAGATTCCTAATCGTCGTAACGGAGCGGCGTTGATCAGGCAGAATACTACTTTATTCTAGCATGTTTGTTTAATGTGGTGGTCGTCGAAAGTTCTATGCAGAAAGTATATATGATTTTAAGGTGGTGCTCATTTTTCAATGTCAAATTCGGATACCTGACATTCGGTAGCAATCTTCCAACTATGTGCTGGTTCTGTATAACAGGAATTTTGAGAAAAGGTCATTTATCTATGCCACCTACAAACCAACGCGGATGAACCGTTGGCTCGCAGTAACTTTCAAGAGGTGAACTTTTTTTCCATTGTTTAGTCTCATTTAGTAACAGTAGGCCCAGTAACCGCAACAGGAAATTTTAGCTTGACCATTGATAAACGAGGATATATATTTATATAGAAATAGTTTTCAAGTGGTAATAGAGAAAGTTTGCTCCGAAAGGTACGTAAACGGATTTGCAGTCAGAGTGTTTCATAATCTGAATCTAAGGAAAGTAAGATATTGTCCAGTGTCTTTACGTGCGACTAACCTTTGCCGAGATAATAAGATTTTTTATTATCTCAAATCAGTGTTGCAGAAGAGACAGAAGCTGGGGGGTCAACACAGCTCAACAGAAAGCTACACCTGAGAAAAATAACGAACGAATCGACATCGTTCAGAAGTGGGTTTCTGATGATAGTTCTGTTTCAACTGTATAGTTAGCAAATATAATATAGGTATAACTGTCATGTTCAGGTACACGTTAAATCTCATAACAACTAAGTGGATGCTCTCCGGCAACGATGAACGGCGGAGAAATATTTTCTGTCTATGCTGCAGAGGCGATCGATCACGTCCTAAAGGATGTATTTATTGTAGGCAAAAACAGATTTCCATCCGAACTATGATGCGATCGTGGACACCTAAAGTGTCTTACTGCTCTTGTACGAAGATGATCGTTCACCGGTTCAGGCTAACTGGTTAGCGCAGAACTAGATACTCGAGAATCCGAGCCTATTTCCGAACAGATACAGTTCACATTCAAATGTATGCGATTAGCATGTATAGAGCGAATGTCTCAAGGTCTCATCCATTTAGGATATTAAGAAGGCGCTTCGGTGAGCACTATCCTCCTCGAACCTCAAACAAACAGAACGACACTTTTAGTATATGCTAACATATATAAAAGACTGTTATATTAATATCAACTCTTGCCATCTCAATGATTCTTCTCGTCTACAAACCGACACCTTCTCGAAATCGATTTGACCATAGATAGTAAATGCTACATGTACATGAGTGTTGTATACCTCAGAACAGTTAACACGATGTGAACTGATTAGGCATTGCGTGAATGATATGGTGTATCAGATTTATTAAGATGAGTTTATCTCTGTAATTCATTCATTTCATGACAGAGAAATAACAATCGACAAGCAAAGGCTATCACGCGCACATACAAAGTGACATAACTAACTTCAGCTAGACAAGCCTGTTCAACTTAATAGGGTATGTCCTCGATCCTATAGTTCGAATGGAGCTTCACTTTCACTGTCTGCAACTGCGCTATTTAGAAAATAAGTTGATCTTCTTTTCAGTTCACACTACTCCATAACATTGCTGTACAAACGAAACATTCATTATCAAGTTATCTGGCAGCATAAATTTTACAAGCCAAAAAATCTGAGGAAGAAGGTATATAGCATAAAAGGCATATAGCCGTGCTCATTTGTTAGACGCGAAGAGCTTATTACTACAATGAATTTACTATTATAAATTAAAAACTAAGTTTGTATATGCAAAAGGAGATGACCGCGTGACTATCATGCGGTGTCATTGGAAAATACCACACGAGTTCAGCGGGACCGACCCCGGCTGTTTGTTTCAGTATGGCAGGTTCTTAATGCAGAACCAAAGACGTGATTCCGAGGACTTTTCCACACAGAAGAAAAGCCAAGCGAAAAACTATATAAATACAAAAAGCTTGCGTACAAATTTCATTGTACAATGAATGTTGTTCTCTGTTCTGAGCAACAACGTATGCTCCGACATTTGTACCTTGCGACATGACCCGTTGCTCAATTTCCATCACGTATGCTGAGGAGTTCTGACAAAGGTTGAGTCACACCATGACACTTCATCTTGCTGACGAATGACTGAACAATTTCATGTGCGTTACATGCTTGGTATCATGTATTTACTCCATTGCTCTATAGACATCGGTTGGCGTATTCGAGTAGACGGACGCTGCTGATTAAAGACGGCCAAGCACAATGGCATGTGACGAAGTTTCATACAGGGTCTAGCTGAAATCTTTGGGATTTTATTGTCCATATTTATATTTGCATAGAAAGCTTTGATATGATGCGGCGTATTTACGATTAAAACACAGCCGTATACCTTAGCATATATTTGCGTCCATGTATTTCATTTCTCTAATCGAGATAATTGCTATTGCTGTTTTATATGTATTCCATCATACTGCCATCTACGTAAACAATGTCATGTATCAAAGGTGTGCCAAATCAAGCTTATTGTATAATTTGAAATAATCAAAGTGGTCATTGAATTTTATGTTGCGATCCAACGCTGTCTGCCCAAAAAGAGTCAAGTTTAGTTGTAACTGAGGGTTAGGAAATAACTGCGCGGCGTTTCGTGACAAGCGGCCAGTATTTTCTCTAATATTCGTCCCTATCACTTACACGAACAGCTAGAAAGCAGAGATTACTCCAGACGAAACGATTTAAATCCTGTAGGCTGCACTTTTGGGAGGGAACAAATAAAATGGCGACAGTCTTTATTTTCATGTTACCGATGTGAGAGGCGGTGGATTTAATTTCTATTCTACTTTATCTGTTTATTAGATTCTTTTTTTTATATGAAATATATGCGTTCGACTGAATCTACTGCACTACTGAAAATAAACGTCCTTATGTGCAGTCCAAATTCTCCTCGCAAAATGCCCTCTTCAGCTGACTATGGTAGAGTCCCCTTTGGGGGGCGGAGTGCTCTGCGTGTGAGAATGAACCGATCGGATGGATGATTTTGGATGATTTCTCCCATGAAAGGGGAGGGGGTAGGGGCAATTAAGCAAATCCACTGACACGGAGACAAAGGTGACGTAAGTGTTAGGAAGCATAAATAATTTGTTCAATAATAATAAATAAAAAAAAAACCTATTTATATATATGTTAACTAATTCACTGTAATTATCAATCGTATCATATGATACGCTATAAATTTCTATGTTTTGGTACTACGTTACAACCTATATGGGGTTTTGTGCCTGTGCGGGACGATGGGGGTAAATTAGTCCAGGGAAAAACGAGCGCCAGGCAAAGCCCACAGGTTCACTTTTTTTCTCTTCTACGAGCACAGTTCTAATTGTGCGAAAACTATTTTTGCTTCGATGTATTGAAAAGTAAAGTTGCAAACTCTTTTGTTATAATCTCACGTATTTTTATCGGCCGGATGAATATAATGTAAGAAATAAGAGAACTGTCGATGTCCTCATTGCTATCATTCTCCTTACGGTATTTGACATAATAATGTAGCGCCGTTCGCATCGTTATTATCCACCACCGTCATACAGCCAAGAGAACCTTACTGCTATATAAACCCCTAGGACCAACCCGAAACCATTAATGTCTTCACTGGCTAGATCACGCTGTTGCGACTCGGCGCTATGGTGCCAACATCAGATCTTCCTTAGAATATTGTTACCACTACCTCTAGCAACGAGATGTAATGATAGAGAAACAGTAGCATCGCGGAATGATACTGTTTTGCTGTACACTGATGACGCTGGCTTTTTTCTTTTGAGAAGTGGATCGTCGTTCCACGTACGTTGAAAACTCGTGTTCTTCACCTCCGTGTGCGGGAGTATTCGCTTCGAGTAGACTAATTACATGCACATAGTTAAATGAAGTATTGAACTTATCGAGCATACCTGTGTTAGCTTCATTTGGATTTAAAGACCCATAGTTGATGTAATGCTTCGTGTTGCTTACCTACGCACTTGGTCTCTGTGGCATATGAGACGAGTTTCGCTAGATGAGTACAATGAATTACACGCTTTTTATGCGGTGTCGTACGATGTCATGGCCGCATTTGGGCAAAAATGCTTTAAGAATCGGTGAGGAATAGTTTCAGCCGTTGCCAGTGTTGATGTTCTAAGTAACGATGCTGAGACAGTTGGGCTATATCGGGATTCGATCACTCCTTCGATTCGTTCGCGTCGCCACCTATGACTGTGGTTAAGCAGTGCTACCGCCATCCCTCTTATCCTATATTACTCGGGTACCTCTCCTTTGCTCTGCAGTGCCAATTACTTCCGGTGATCGGCCGGGGGCATTATGGTAACGGCATTGGTATTTTGATGTGTTTGGCGGCAGTTATGCTCATCGACGGTTATGTTTGCCTTTGTTGAACCGCTATAGTCAACCGATCACAACCCATCAGCTGTTCCGTGACTTTGGCTCCCTCTGTGCCGCAATAGTTAAAGCCTCTTCTTACACTGAAATATCCTCCACTGCTAAAGCTGCCCACAAACAACAAGCGACCATGTTTTTGTTCGTTGCAGACGGCACGCCGTTGTCGGTGATAAGCATTGATGACACACAAATATATATATATATATATACATAGAGAGAGAGAGAGGGAGGGAGAGAGCGGTGTCTAAACTAAGACAGACGTTGGCAGGCTGTTTGTTGTGACGAACATAC